GGATTCAAAGAACTTTCTGCTGTTATGACTGGCAACTGTAACCATGTCCTTACCCCCCAGAATGATGTCCCACCAAATGGCATCAGACTCCACAATTCTGGGGTCCGCAAGCTTATCCTCATGGTTTTTGAGCCATGGTAAGATTTCAGGATTTTTCCCTGACCATGCCTCTTTTATAGGGATGACCAGGGCCTGAGTTTGAAGGGGGTATCCGACCCCTTTTCTGTGGCCCAAGTACAAGTCAACAAATTGATTACAGGAAATGCTTTGCCCATCTTTGTTGACACTGTGAATGGTATATTTTGTACCACACGTTTGAGTGGGAATTTTGAGTTGATTGACGCATTCCCTTGTGATAAGGGTGGTTTGAGCGCCCGTATCAAGGAGTACGTATAATTTTTCCCCATTTGGGTAACTTTTAACCTCTGCAGTTTCAATGAAAGAGCTCAGTAGGTTAGACAGAAGGGTGTCAAATTAATTCTTAATTGTTACGCCTTTGGGTCCTTGGGTTCCTCCTGAACCTTTTGCGGAGGGGAAGGATCCTCTTTTTGAGTGACAACTTGTTTTTTCCAATCTTCTTTAAAGCTCTTAATCTCATTGAGGATCAACTGCCCGTGAACAAGATCATAGGGTTCCTCAATCTTTTCTTCCTTCCCCTTGTGAGGCTTCACTTTGATACAGAGGGAAGTATGATGCTTACTGGAGCATTTCTAGCATCTCCAGCTGCTTTGGCACTTAGCTTGGGAATGGTTTGCCTTAAGGCAGTTGAAGCAAAGGCTGCTGGTCTTGGCTATCTCTCTGCACTTTGAGATGCAAAAATTGCAATTGGTATGAAAGTGCTCCTTTTTACAAAAGGCACATTTGACCTCGAATTTTTTGCTGTTAGTTGATTTCCCAAGTTCTGCTTTTCAAACTTGGGTTTTTTGGAAGGATTTTCATTGTGTCCCTTCTCTGCCTTTCTCTTGCAAGAATTCTGGTTTTTACCCTTGGGCTGTTTTTCAGTCTCCTGTACCCCAACTTTGAAAGAGCATGATGCCTTTTTGTTGGGCCTGTTCTCCCTTACAGAGAAGGAAGTGTAGACCGATCTTAGCCAGAAGTATTTCTTCAAGGGGTTTGCTATCCAGGAAATCCTCTCCAAGGGCGGAGCTTGGTGAATTGCTACATCAATCATCATTGATCCAGATAGCTTGGATTCCACAATAGGCCATACCCTATTTTCAATTACGTCCGGATTTTGTTCTATTTTCTCCAACTTCATAAATAGAAGAAAAATTTGGTAAGCATACTTGGCTGCTGCCCTCATGGACTTGTCCAAGGGACTCAGTTGCTCAATCTCCAAATAGAGCTTGTTTTTTGATGCTGAGGCATTGCCATATTTATCAAAAAGAAGCTTGATGAAGTTGAGGTAGTCATCTTCCTCTTTGCAACTCTGAAAAGTAGCTGTATCTCGTTTCAGTTGACCGGACAAATGCATTTGGAGTAAGATTATTCTCTTGGAGGGCGTGATCAGATTTCTTGGGGCCAAATGATATTTCTGGAAGTTATTCCAGATAGTTCCCCAATCCTTCTCAGAATTTTCCCTGTCGAAGCGAGGGAAGGAGGGGTCATCAGAAGATTTGAGGACTTTGGCAATTTCCTTTTGGGCATCAATCTGTTTGTTTCCTGTAGCAAATTCACTCAGGACCTTATGATAGGAGGGGTTTTGTACCCCAACTTGCTCGAGGAGGTAATTTTCCTGATTGAATTGCGAATCCTTGACCTTAGTAGGGTTCTCAGGAAGTATCACCCCAAGGATTTCTCCAGGGGTTGGTCTGAGCACCTTCCAAGATTGAAGGAGAGTGACATCAGAGGACTCATTGATGAGTTTCATTTCCATTTTGAGTTTGGAGAGTTTGAGATAGATCTCCATGTCCTCCTTCTCTGTGGAGGTCTGGCTGATGCCTTCTTCTATTTTGAGGAGGTCTTTTCTGATTTCCCTCATTTTAGCGGGGCCAACCCCACTCTGATTCTTTGAGAAGGTGTCCATAACCATCATTAGGTTTGACAGTACCAATAGTGACTGCATTTCATCTGGAGGTTTGTCTCGCTCAGAGCACTCTGAGTAAGTCTTCTCACTCCTTAATTCTTCCTCAAAATCTTGAGGAGGGATTATTTGTCGGATCTTGGGGGACGACCTGGTCCTCTCTTGGGGAGGCCATCCCCCATGGGGATTTCATGGGAGATTTCCATTTCTTGAATGGATTTGGCTAAATCCCCTGAATTCAATTCCTCAACCGATTTTTTCCTTACGTTAGGAATTTCAAAAGAGAGTGGTCGAATTGCCTTTCCCTTGCAGTGGAAGGGTTTCTTTTTTGTAAAGATGTAGAAATTTGTATATGGAAAGAGCAGAAACACGCTCTGCTACCACTTTTGTACAAATTTTAGCTGGGAATTTGTTTCTCCCAGGAGAGAAATGTACGTAATCTTTGAGAGATTGCAGAGTTACCCTTTAAGAAAAGGGTTTTTACAAAAGACGGTTCAAGGATTTTTGTCTGAGAAGACAAAGTTCAAATCTACAGAAAAAATGATCAGTAGACAAATTGGCAGGCGCGCAACCTGCCAGAATAAGCGCAAACCTGTTTTCCACAACCTTACGCAGTTTCAAAAAAAACTCTCAAGCACTTCTGTATCAAAAATACGCCGGACTTCTCGTGTCAAGTTTCCGCAAATTCAATTTGACAAAGAACACTGAAAAATGTTTCCAAAGCTTTGAAGTAGCCTTCTGCAGCACTCTCGTCGTTCTGATGATTCTGCTATTGAGGTCCATTTTATGCTTTTGGGGTCCTTTGTTTCAAGCCCGGGGCTTGTCGTTAGTGACGTCAGGAACTTCTGCCGGATCCCGTTAAATTCAGCCCAACTGTTGGGAGGGCTGATTTATCGAGATACAGAAATTTGTAAAAAAGTTGTTTCCCTGAAAATTCTGATTTTTGGGATGAAAAGGTTTGGTCGTAAAAGACTTGTGAGAAAGGAATCTGTTCCTCTATATAAAATTTGACACGGGCTGTTTGTGTCCTTGTTTTGAGCTTCTGAAGGGGGGTGGAAAGCGCTTGCGCAGCAAGCGTCAAGTTTCAAGTGTTTTAGAGGTAATTGAGTCCCCTCATAAAAGAGGGGAACCCCTGTCATTTTTCCGGGGTTCTATCTCCTTTTGGTGGCTCAACAGCCGCCAGCCGGTCTGAGCCATATGTCTTTTGGCGCGCCAATATTCATCAGCACCCCCTTTCAGAAACATAATCCCCAAAGTTTTGAACTTCGGGGATGACCAATAAATTGCGTCAAAAACATGACACAAACTTCGACTTGGGGGTAATTTCTCACACAACCTGCTGGGGATTTGAACCACGACCCCACAACTCAGTGCCCACAGCCATAACAACTGCACCAAACATACAGCAGTGATTGGCCAGAGCAGAAATTCTGGCCAGAAACTCTAGCATGATCAGAGTTTCTGAATGAACTAAACATTTACAATATGTAATAATCAGCAAAACAAGAGTATGACATTTGCTTTTGGGATACACTACAATAGATCAAAATTGAAAGTAATGCACTGTGTATGTATCCTAACTTATAAATCATTTCTTCATTCTTACACTAATAATTGCAAATATTAACACTGTAACCACAGATTTATTTGCAAGTTGTTGCAATTTTGTTAGAATGCCACACAGTAAATGTTGAAAACACTTTCGTAACATTTGTAAATGAAACTTTTCATTTCAGTTGCATTACATGCAACCACTGTTACACACTGTTATCACAATGTTGCAACACTTTTGTGATATGACTATGTAGCACTGCATGAGAAAACTTGTAAAGTATTTTAAAATGCATGGGACTATTCACAATTGATGCATTCATGCACCATATTGCAAATAATACATATTGATTTTAATTACAGCACACAACAGTGTGCATCACTTGCTGAAGTTTCAGAATTAACCTCCCATGACAACAATATTACAACAAAGTGAAAGCGGTGTTAACACAAACCCATGACAACAATATTACAACAAAGTGAAAGCAGTGTTAACACAATTATGTCTTCTGAAATTGCCAGTAACACATAAATTGATCTTTACAATCATTTTACAGCAATTTCTTGTTGCAATAGACATTACAACAATGGAAAGATTCAAAATAATTGAATACACATTAAAACAATGTGTAATAAGCCATACAGCAGTATTACATTTACTTTTTGGATAAACTGCAATTGAACAAATTTGTAAGTAATACACTGGTCTATGTCCTAACTCAGAAATCACTTCTTTATTCTTACACTAATAACTGCAAATATTAACACTGTTACCACACATTTATTTGCAAGTTGTTGCAATTTTGTTAGAATGCCACACAGTAAATGTTGAAAACACTTTGGAAACATTTGTAAATGAAATTTTTCAATTCACTTGCATTACATGCAACCAATGTTACACACTGTTATCACAATGTTACAACACTGTGGAAACAGTGTTAAAACATTGTGGTTTAAAAGCATCACAGAAAAACATTTTTTACAGGGTAAAATATGCTTTCAAAAGTCACAAGTTGACTCTTCCAGAAGCATCGAAGAAAAAAATTTTCAACAGTGTAAAAAATGCTTTTGAAAGAGTCAAAATGTGACTCTGTCAAAAGCGTCACACAAAAACATGAAAGCATCAGAGTCTGACGCTTTCAAAAGCGTCACAGAAAAACATTTTCGACTAGGTTAAAAATGCTTTTAAAAGCATTAGACTCTGACGCTTTCAAAAGCATCAACTAAAAACATTTTTACCCCATCCTGACCGCGTCAGGAAAACAGATCCCTCCTTGCATCCAAAACCATTAGACCGCCATCTGAAACGGCCAGGTTACGCGTAAAAATAGCCGCTATCTCAGGCAGCAATCTGAAATTTTTGCTGGGTCTGGTAATAGCGGTGCAACAAGCTAAAAAAAACCATAAATAAAGTAACACTGACAAGTGGGTTTTCAAATGCCATCCTGCATCGAAGCATTTCATTTTATTCCACTTTGTTTTCCAAAATCCAATCTCTTCCCCCCTTTTTTTTGCAAGCTGTCAGGTGTGGATTTGACCTACAACACATGAAACTAAACCACCCCAACGTTGTCACAGGCCGCCTGCTTCAACCACATATAGACAGCTTGGGATATTTGAATGCATCCTGGGCCGAAACAGATTTCTGTGCCAATAATTGTTGATCAATAATCAAATAGGGACAGTCAAAGCCTGCTCGCGACTAAGCTTTACAATGCTAGGAATCACACCAGAACCCGCCTCCTATACTCAGTGGATTAGCAAAGCTTGACACGTCAAAAAGGAAACAAAACTCAGGCTTGTGATGCGATTGAGATCTACAAAAGAGGAAGCGTGAACCCAAAAAATTATAGAAACGGAAGTGTCGACTTCCGACCCGGAGCGAAGGCAATCCAAAAACAAAACATTCCCAAAATTGAATTTGCTTCCACTTCAGGGCAAAACGCAAAAAATCTTCGTACGATTTTTTTCTCTCGGTACCATCACTTGTAAATGTGAGCCAGAAGTCTCCTGCTCGTCAATGTTTCAACCAATCTTTAAAAAAGGACGAGGTCTCAAGAGTTGATCTAGAATTTCTTGCAAAGAAAGGACCAAGGATTCTCGAAAAAATGCGGCAAAAACATTAGCGACGAAGAGTTTCGCAGGATTAAAAGATATATTCGACATACAAGGGAAAAAATTTTAGGATTTTGTAAAAAGAAAGCAAGAGACCTCCGGCGGAATTTTTTCAGCTCAACCCTCGGTACGGTGCGCAAAAGATGTGTTGATCATTACGATTCAACGTTGAAAATATCCATCACACCCTGCATATATGTTACACAGGAAAAAAATCACACTGCATACTATAGCCCCCTTGCCACCCAAACACCACAAGGAGTTTCTTGACGGATTCAAAAAACGCATCAACTTACATCCCATGCAACGAACTCACGCATCAAGAAGCTTGCATTAAAGCCCTGATGAGACAGTTTGACAATCGATCATTCAAATAACAGAAAATCGAATCGGAACATTTCGGAGGGGATTTAAAAAAACGGAATCGTTCACAAACTTCCTAATTTCTGAAGAAAGAATGAAGAGCGCCGTTCTTATATTCACAAAATTCCGGTAAAATCTTCGTTCTACTCCGACTAAATTCTGCGTTACTTCTTCTGATTTCAAGCATTTAACCAACCAAAACCTCACCCAACTTTCATTTACATTTGTTTTTTTTGTTTTGTTTTTTTTTTTTAATTAGGCGGACACGTCAACCGCAGAATTCAACATTAGTTACTAATAAGAAATGTGGAACGCCAATCACCAAAAGTTTGCGGATGAGAAACAGGCAAAACGATTACGAGCTAGATCTTTTAGAAGTAAAATTCCACTATGGCAGCATATTTTCCAGAAAGCAAAGAAAAAATATCGCCAGAATTGAAATTTCAGAACTACGGTTGTGATATGCTATTTATGAACAAACCACGCCTTCACCCATCGCGCTTAGGGAACAAACAACACCAAGCCAGAACAGATTTGGACGCTCAACGACCTACTTCACATCAATACATCGATTGTTTCTCCTCCTCCTCTTGCCATTTCACACATGGTTAAAGCAGCCAACAATGGCTGTCTACGGCTACTAGACACCGAATACATACTCGATTCCCCTCCAACACCCAACTGGGCTTCACCCCTTTCCCTATTAAAAAAAAAGTAAGAGACGTTTCCATTCTACCCAGGAAATAGCGCGTAAAACCGCGACTCGCAGCTAGAACATCAACCATGACTTCCTGACGTCCTCCTAGACCAAGAACGATTATCACACCGATTTCCTAGCATATTCAAAAAATGTACACGCATCCCCAGCACATCGATGAAATGGAACAGCACAAAGCCAGGGAATTTCTTCTTTGAAAATACTTTGCCAATATTCTCAACTCCCTTCCTGGATATTTTCGAGAACGAAAGCGGAAAAAAGCAGTAGAAAAAATAAGACCTAGCGACCCACCGATTTTCCTCGTCCACCAAGGGCGTGAATACTGCAAGAAACGCACTCCGAAACCCACCCCCCTCCCGAGTCCCGAATCCAAAAGCGTCAAAAATAAATTCCACCTAAAAGCCCGACTTTCGAGAGAAAATACAACAAACACCGTAGTGTCCCAAAACAATCGATACACAACTAATTTCACAACTTTTCCGTCCGGTCTCAGCTAACAGAAAAAAAAGAAATGATACTCTCTCACTTCAACTTTGCTCCCGAGTCAAATCCGCATAAAAGCCAAGGAATCCACCTCCCAGATACTTAAATGCGCTGAAGCAACACTCAAAAGCTCTCCGGATACCCCGACGGTCATTTACACCCCTGTGGCACTGACTGCTCGCTTTTTTTCTACGCCACGCATTAAAAAATTTATATCACAATAATTAGAGGTGTGCCTACTAATCTCCATCATCCCTTTCTCGCCTTCCAAGTGCGTCAGCGATTCTGGGAAAACGAAGAGAATACAGTACCGTTTTCACTGATGAGAAACCCAAAAGACGTCAACCCATCTTCCCCATCTTCCCCACCTTAAAAGGAGCGATGAAAGGAAAATTCTTTCCAGTACATCGAAAAATCACTTTCTGCACATTCGAAACCTCCCAACAGATGTTCGTATTTATAACCCTTCCCCGCTTCGGAAAAAAAAAAAAAGCACATCGTGCAGCACCCGTCATGAAGTCCCATCTTCTCTCGACACAAGCTACTTTCCTCCAAGCTTCTTCACACCGTGACAGATCAGAACATGAAAAACGCTTAACGCGGAAAGCATGCGTGGTTTTTCTTCCCCCTCAAAAATCCAGCAAAGGCATTCAGGAGGCTTATACGCTCATAACGGCGCTTTGTAACCGGGCCACACGACAAGAAACAAAAATAAATAAATAAAAAAAAAAAAAAACGAATTGACTTCGTTGCTTCTCTTCAACGCTGCAAGCTATTCCGCATCCAATCGAACTGAATCAAGTAAAGCACGCTTCGCCAGAACACAGAACAAAATCGTGAGAGACAAATCAAGTACACATTCGTTCTGTCGTAATACACCACTACATCCTTAGTCCCCAAAGAGGTGGTAAAGGGGTGTATATTGGGTCTTGGCCGGACTAAGGGTGGCGTAGGCATAAGTTTGCCCCGCCGCCATTTGCACAGGATGCGTAGAGAAGACGGGTCCAGGGCCAGGTTGGAGATGCGCCGGAAGAGGCTGTGCACCTCCACCCGGCCCAGTCAGCATCGTTGCTGCTCTCGAATTACTGTGATGAGCTGGTGGCGGCAACGCTCTGAAATATTTCCAGGAGCAAGATTAAAATTAAACTATGTCCAGTACAGTACATTATCGGAATCAATGGGGGGGGGGGGGGGGGGGGATTCTAAAAAATTACCGTATTTAAATTTTTTTCATTTCGTCACGACCCGCAAGACAGCTGAAAAGATCATACTTTTCCAGAGATGGCTTCAGAATGAAGCAAGTCGATCGAGCGAAACATCCCGTCGGATGTTCCGAAGAACTGACTTAAGTTCTAAGAACTGTGCTCTCCGTTTCTTGCCTTACTCTGGGAACTGAATTATCCACAAGAAGGCAATGGGTACACGGTGAACAAGTTTTGATCTCCCTTTCAGTTCGTCCCACACACGTCACCTAAATTGCAGACGAGGCAGGGGATTCTAGAAAGGTTACATTTATTGAAAGAATACAGCATGATCCACGTGCCTAACATCAGTGCTGCTTCATAAATACAGAGATTAAAAATTATTATGCTTTAGAAAGTTAAACTTGATGTTGCTCGGCTTTCAGATTCACCAACTGCAGATACAAATTGAAAAGATCGTTGCGTGCACGACGTAATCATCCACAATCTGACGACGGACGTGACATACGAAAAATAAAATTGCGAGAAAGGTCGCAATACTCACCCCGCGAGACTCGGATGATAGGATGGCAGCGTCAAACTGGTAGTGACATAGATCGGAGCAGATGCCGCAGCATTCGCAATGGCGGCAGCTGCTACGGCCGCTCGACCATACAGATCATAGTCCTGGTACGCAAACTGTGCCGCTGGCGCAGGCGCCGGTGCTGCAACACGAGGCGGTGAAGGGCCTCGAGTCATCACGTGTCCAAACCGCGTCAACGCTTGCGAAGTTTTCGGCGGCGAACCTCCTTCTCCCATCGACAGACGCCTCGCTCTAAAATTTCAAATAAATACAAACTTAGAGCAGGCGGTATTTCTCAGGCGGACCACTCGTAGAACACCCCGTGCATCACTCGATCTTTACGAGGAAATTTATCTCAAGAATCAATTGAAAATAAAATCAGCCTATCGAGAAAAGAAATGAGATTTTTTTTTTCGATTGGCTGACGCAAGCTTTGGAGAGTACAATACTGCATTTGAAAACAGAGCTCTTTTGTTTCCACATCCTTTCGCACCCGACTCCGTGGATTCCACTAATACATAACAGGAGAGTCGCACGTCTTGCGAAGTTCCGTTCGGTTTTCAATTTCTGGATAGGTCAAATTTCATGTTTGAATTTTCATTAATTTGAATTGATTTTCCCTGATGCCCAATATTCAATAGGCAAAGAAGGATGAAACGAATTTTCTTCGACTGACAGTACAGTATTCTGCAACGACGCGTGAAAATGATACAGTCCCTCAATCCTCGAATTTAACGGAAAATTTTTTCGTCCAACATTTTTCCTTATCCCATAAAAGTTCCAACAGGTCGGTTAGGAAATTCACAAGTCTCACTGTTTGAATATGAAATATTTCTTACCCGTGATTAATAGGCGCCTGGAGAGCCGGGGCCACCCAGTTGCGAGAACTATGAGCTTGCATGCTCGAGTAGCCACTAGCCAAAGATACACAAGGCGCATCGGCGTTCTTGAAGTAACCAAGATTGTCCACCTTTCGTTCTCCGTAGTTGGATAGTTTTTCAGCTGAAAGGTTCAAGGAGTTGCAATATTATTCTCAATGGAACGATGAGAAAAAAAAAGTCGAACTAACCATGTGAATACGTGTCTCGTTCCTCTTTGATCGCATGTGGTGGAAGCATATTAATCGCATGTCGCCTGCTGTCCTGAACGTTGCGAGCGGAATGACCGTCACCAGACCCATCGCCGTTCGATGTTCGCGAATACTCGCTACGAAACAATTTATGCGCAACACATTCAAATCTCAGTTTCCCTTTCGTTGGTCCAGGCTTCTTAAGGAATTGTAAGCTCTGAAGACATGAAAGCTATACAACCACAGGGTGGCGAATACATGGTACTTCCAGAGATATGTATACCTTAGCTTGAAACGTAGATCTATTGTACGGTGACTCAACGCTATTCACACTTGAGTCGAGATGCTCTAGTTCTTGTTGAGAGTACCTCTCAGATGATTGCTACGTGAATCTATGAGCAGTCTGTAAGCGAACTTTCCTTTACCTTCGGTGAAAGAGAGATAATAACAAAATTAAACTCAGAAAGTTAACGCCGTCAGGAAATTGAAAAGCATACTTTCCGACGGTGTTAATTGAAGTTAACATTTGTGAAGTTCGATGTCGGGGAGGCGATCGGGGAGATTTATTTTTCATGATACAGTATACAGTGATTTCACTGTATACTGTATCATGAAAAATAAATAAGCAGGCGGGAGGAAACGATGGAGATAGACATTTTTTGAAACTGTTGAATACTCCATTCGCACTGGAATGCGAAACTGCCCGATTCCATGAACATTGGGGGTAAAACCTTTTGAGAACCACCGATTGATTTAGAACATCCCACATTTCAACGATGAATTATGTTCAGTTGCCCCAATACCCAGCGAAGAGAAATCGTCACAGGATTCAAGGAACAACAGTGATGATCAATATTCCTTTCACCCCGTCCCTCACACGTCGAACTAATTTATCCGTGCTGGGTGAGATCGGAAAGGATCCCTGAGGAACTCAATGATCATCAAAAATTTAACTGGAAAAGCATTCGATTCACGAAATCGAAACGCAACGTTTGTCAGCAGAAAACATCCACTAAGAAATGATCACCTTGCGTTGTAGAACCCGTCTCGGCGATCAGTGCTGCGATAACCTTCATCAATCGCTTCATTCTTCGTGCGACAGGCTGGTCTGGACCACGGATCACCGGCGCCTCGGTTGCACGGCGGCGATGAGCCCACCGTCGTCGGCGCCTCACGTTTCGATATCACCGGTGGCTCCATCGCAGACGAGCCAGCATACAGCAAACACTCCGACTGTGCTTTCGCCAACAAGCGCTTCTTTTGACTCTGCGACGCGGCCGTCGACGGATAGCTGAAAAAACCATACAGAAGCAAGAACGGTCAGTACTGTTTCCGTTCTCCAAAAAACGTGCCTTGTACCGACGCAGCTACATGAACAAACTGAAAATATCAGTTCTTTTGAGTCACGTCTAAATCTAAGGGAGGAGGTGACATTTCAACGAAGTCGGAGACTGAACGAAAATTTACTTCACACTGATGATCAACATACATTTTCTTTGAAGCCTCGTGATGCTTCCAACACGAAGAGTACGACTGGAATATTGTACCAATTCTCGCAACAAAAAAAAAAAAAATATATATATATATATACTGTATATTAATTTGGTATCCTTTCCATGCACACTTTCTGGATAGCAAGCGTATCCACTCATAACTCGGTGCCAAAACCCCAACCTCTTCGAATCGTTATTTCCATAACGCGGACCCAATTTCGACACGGAACTCGTCTACCACTTATGGCAAAGAGAGACACGAAACGTTGAACTGGAGCCTTTTCGCGCTGGAACGTTTCTGGGCGGTTAAGCTTCTGCAGAAACTTGCTGGACTCGATGAAGCCGCTATCAACGCAAAAACCGGTTCAGAAATCTAACCTGGAGCCAGATCCAGCGGGAGCAACGTCTTGATTAACTTCGGTCTTGATACAACGTTCCTCATCACTATCGGCTACTGTGACGCACGAAATGACATTTCGGCCTTGCAAACCCTGCTGCTGAGATGGTGGTGACTTATCATCTTGTGGCCTGGTCCCGAAAACATCAGAGGACTGCGACGGATTGCGTCCCTGAGGCGTAAGTGCCATGACTGACGGACACTTGCTACTATTGGTGCTACTGCCCATCGCGGAAGAATCGAGAGCCATGGCTTTTGTGGGCGGCGCGTGAAATCGGCCGCCGCTTCCGCTTGATCCACTGCTAACACTGTTGAGTGAATGGCGGCTGCCGCTAGCGTCCTCTGACGCATTCGGACGATGGCAAGACCTACACTCGGAGTCCTTGCAAATTTCCGATCTGGCAAAAATCCGAATAAACCCAGTCTTTATTGATGTCACTCGACACTTCAATGAGATTTCAGAAAAATCTTCCGAAAGGGAAATAATTAACTGCATTATTTTTTTTAATATTTTTCTGATACATATTAATCAGTTTCTTTCTGGACGAAGAATCTCATCGCCTCGAAAAGGTACCTTCATCGTAGATCGACAGTAATTATTCATTAGCTGAACAACTTATCTGCACTTCGTAGCACTGATGATCCAAACGAACTTCCGATTTGTCATTATTCTAATTAAAAAGTTACGAATGAAATTACTAATTCCCCCATCGACTTATTTTGCAGCACCGCAATAGTCTTCGCAAGACCAGAACGTGAACGAGCGAATATCGTAACCATGATTTCATGATCGAGTTCCAGGGAGATTATGTGTCCGGAAAACGAGATTTGCGTAGAGACGCATGATCGAACTCAGCTTGAAATTTTGCTTCCCGTGTTTCTGTAGCAAACGTTTGAGAGTGATCTGAGCATCACACACCGCAGCCACCCACTTTCATTTGCTTCACCTTTTCATGAATCCCGTTTCAACAAAATTTTCGAAAATAAGTAGTTCTCATTTTTGGTTCTTCTCTCCGCTCAAACGTCAAGCTCGGAGAACTTGCAATTCCTTTTTCAATTTTTTCAGTCCTGATTCGCTTATTGGAGCGCGAATATTAAAGTTTCACTGGTACAAGTAAACTCTCTTCCTACGAAGAAATTCAGGGGACCAGAAAAAGTTAGTTTTGAAGAACCCTACTGGACCGAAGAAAAAATTCTTTAAACGGAGATATCAGTTGTAGTACTGTACTTGTAGAGGGAGTCTGCCTTTACTTCGTTCGACTACGCCAACAGCTGGATGTTCGAAGTTCATTTGACTCACTTTTTCGCATTTCTTGAATTGTATCCCGGATCTTCATCGCTGTCGGAAATCGTGATCACAGAAACCGCAGGCGAAGGTGTGTCTCTGATTGTGATAGTCGCCTGAGAGTATTTCCCCTGATGCGCATGCAACTGATTCGTCGGCTGCTGCTTCTGCTCATAATTCTGGCCGCTGTCATGATGATTACTTCCCAAATGATGGAACCGGCCGTCGCGACGGTTTTCATCAGCGTAATTGCCCGTGCTAGAGCCGTTGCCGGAGTCCGTAACCGAAGCGTGGCTCTGCAGGGAATATTCCTCGCGACGATGGCCTTGCTCGACGAACCGGTGCGGGGCCCCTTGGATCTGCTGACTACTTCCAGGCATAGGGCTTCTCATACGTACGTAGGCGGAAGTTCCTGCAAATCACAGTAACACAAAATGTCATGGTCTCGTTCGAAATGGTATGAACGCGTGCGTATAGAAATTAACAGAGGTCTTCTGCAGACGATGGACCGGGGCCATCTCATGGAAGCTACCCGCGATTAAATCCACGATGCTATTCAAAACAATTAAATCGTGCAGTTACGACACGATTAAACATCCGATGTACATACGGTACTCGTAGAACACGGTCTACCCTCATAAGTGCAAACCAGATATATTCAAGTACTGTATAGGCAGCATCAGTCACATACGAGCAGAACACACGAGAGCCGTCAACCAGGCATATCGTTATGGATTTAGTACAAAAAACGACGAAAATCAAGACGCGACCCAACATCAGTCAAAACGGTTTCCAGGAGAGAAGGAAATGACTCCAAATTCGGCCATTCAATCGATATCGCGATTGTCCAGATAATGATTCGCAGAAGGAAGGGTCGAGCTTTTCTCAAATTTACACGATCAAGAGTGAAATACAGTATAATCGACATTCTCATCGCGTCACATTGAACGTCCAACTAAGAAGAAATTACTGTTTCCAACGTCGGAGCAGAGATAAGATATTAATACTGTAATGTCCAAAGAGCTTTTTTTAGGGTTACCAGGCCAGCTCGAGGCTAACCACGCATTTCCAACTTTATTCATTTATTTCCTTCCATATTTAAAACGTAAGCCCATCTTTGATGTCGAATTTTTCTAAATGTACACGATATATTTCAAAAGTTATCTTTCCACCCATAGAACCGAATCGTACAATTTTGGAGCAAAATTCGTGCGTGACTCCTGGAGGTTCGATAATCAAAAATGCTCGCAAACGAATTGAGCCAGAAGATTAGTTCTTGTGAATTTTGCGATGTTAATCGCGACATGTTACTACACGAAATTATAGTCAACAAGAGATTTTCTTGATTCACGTCAAGCTTCCGAGAAAATCTCGAATTATTTCCGATCATTTCATTCATTCGCAGTTCGGGAGAGTTGGGAATAAACATGTGAAAAAAACCGATCAACTTTGTTTTTTTAAGAACGAACTCAAGAAAGCACGATTAGAGGAATACTTCCGGTCAACAAAAAAGGATATTTCAAAAATCGGTAGTTCCGCGCAGCGAAATCCGAACCTTGCGACGGCGGGGTGCCTTCCTTCACACGCTTCTTCACAGGACTCGATTGAGGCACAACCTTGTTACTGCTCGTCCCGTGATGCAACTGCCCGTGTCCTGTGGTAAATCCCGACATGGAAACCGCCTCCACACCGTATCGCGGAGACGCGAACATATCAGTCTGGTTGAGAGCGTGGATATTCAACCCATCCATTCTTTGGGCATGGCTAGGCAGTACGTGCTGCTGGAGTTGATGTGACAAGTGAAACGCACTTTGATGAGCCCCCAGTCCCAGTGACGATGCCACATGCGACAAGTGATGTGCTGGTGGTGGCGGAGGAGCGACTTGTGGCGGCTTTTGAGTTCTTTTCGCAATCTGAACAACAAACTGGCGGTCCGATTGCGCTGCGTATTCTTTGTATACATCAGGAACCTCCAGCTGGAAACTCGTTTGGTCTTGAACCTGAAACCCCATGCAATGACACATAAAATCAGAACTATACCTGACCTGAACAAATATTTCTCGACCTTCGAATGCATTTTTCTTTGGTTTCGAAAAACACACCACGAAGAAGCAAGATAGATACTGACAGTTGAGCACTAACATGGAAGAATACAAATTCATAGCTCACATGAAAGTGGGAGAACTACCACACAGTGAAATTGAAATTTGTGTACCGAATTTTTTAGTCGTGACATGGGAAGAATTTCTTTTCACAAAATTTTTTTTTATTTACGTGCTCCGAGTATTTCAACGTACCGGCATGATGTTTGATCCATCGACAAGCAATGCGCGTCGGCGCCATGCGTCTGAATCTGCAATCAAGGCTTGCGGTTGAATGGCGGCTTGACTCGGGCCAGGCGCTGCACCGGCTGTCGTCCACCCAGGAACAAGCATTTGCCTGTTCGACGCCCATGAACCCTGAACATTCTGCGAAGTAAGACGAAACACGCATCGGATTATTGGCCATCATTACAGCTCAAAAAATATATCCGGCGAATGATCACTCAATGCGAATGGTCACTCATAATCTTCATCATCAACAGAGGTGCCTCAATTTGAGTTAGATTAACTTTTAAATCTATTGAACATAAAACGCTTGGCTCAAGAAAAAGGCAGGGACCGAAATTAACAGCTGTCGTACTCCAGCCAACGGTAAGGATTTTTCATGCGTACAGCAGATCTCTTCTGTTCAAAATAAATGGAATTATATTAAAGCAAATATTAATTTGGGGATGACGTGAATTGTGAACACGAGGAAGATACAAGGAAATCAACTTCGGTTGCGTACATTTCACCCCATTTCCGGGGAATGTGTTCTGAGAGAAAACATCGAGGATACAGGTTGATTCCTGAAATTGATGTTTCTTCAATTATGTTATGATCATGATACTTTTATTCCCGATTCTTCACTTCGTCCAGAATTCAAGTTGAAGCCACTGTACGACAACGGTACAAAGCAGGCAGAAATTAAACACGGCCATAGTCTTGAAAATTAGGAAGAATCAGAAGCTGCATCATGAAACAGCCATGAATGCATCCAACGCACTCAAATCTTCGATCATATCTCTCAACGAAGGATTGGGCAATTTCAGCGCAATTAACGAAAAATTCAACTCACAGTGAGAACCATGCGTCCATTCTGCTCCATCATAGCTGGCACCGGCACATACTGTTGCTGGGCCGCAACCTGAAATCCGACAGTAAAAAACACAGTAAATATGAGACATCCCAGGGAATGAAAAAAAGCAACAAGTGAACATACAGGCTGAGGTATCAGCGATGCTTGCAGTGGCAACTGGGCTTGTTGTTGACTCGCCACGTGTACAGCCACCTGCTTCGCAGCAGCCGCCGCGGCAGCAGCAGCAGGACTAGCCAGGGCTTGGTATGCAGCCGCTGCAGCAGCCGCAACCCCTGCGTTCGGCTGACAGAGCATCGATGGCACTAGAGACGAATAAGATGCTTCGGGTGCACGTGCTTGACTGGAGCTCGACGCGTACTGCCGTACCGCGTGACGACTCGACGGCGCTTGGAAAACCGGGTACTAGACAAGATGACAAATCATGAGTACTCAGAAATACGCCTGGTGCGAAAATCGATCAATTCATCCGCGTTTTTGTTTGGTTTTTTTCTTCTCTTTCGAAAATGAGCATAGCTGGAATATTTTTGTCAAGTACAGTATTTTCATGTTCGGTAATCGCAGTAACAACGTTAACCGCAAACTTTCTTTGCGAAAGAACCGAATCTTCCAAAACTTCTGGACTTAAAACTGAGTAAAAAATGAATTGTCAGCCACTAACTTGATTCTGAAGCTGGGATCCAAATGCGAGGGCCACATGGTTGCCGGAACTGCTCGGGATGAAGTTGGTCATCACTGAATGAGACGCAGCGGCAGCGACGGCTGCAGCAGTTGCAATCGACTGATACCCATTGCCACTGTTTCCTCGCTTGCATACTTCCATCATACCCAAGCTAGATTTGACATTGGAACAATGAACGTAGTCCAGCAAGTGGGCCAGACTAACAAATGGATGCGTCAATCCTTCGGCAGGTACAATGCGACGTTCCTGGTCCGTTGTTAACATACGCTTCAGCAGGTCTATGAATTCGCGACGATCAGCTTTCTCCGCCAACAGTTCACCTCCTTCCAAGTCAGTCGGAACATTAACCTGGGAAAATATAATTTTATTCAAAACTTGCTGGATTGAAAGTCAGTCGACATTTCTGCGTCAAAAAAGGGGTCAAGATTACATTTTTTTTTTCAATGCTATACGCATGGAAATGAAACCGTATTCCAACACGGAATGGTGTGCAGAAATTTAAAACGCAGAAATTCATCGAAACGCTTCGAAATCAAACATTACCTGTCCAATATCATCCAAGCAATTGAAGATGTATTTCCGAGTTTCCTTCGACTTCACGGAGGTCTCAACTTCGTATTCCTCCGGCGTCTTCAGGCGCCAGAAGGGATACGAGGCATTTTCGAGGTCACGATAGAAAAATCGACGCGTCTTGGAGGCATTATTCAGCATGTGTTCAGGCGGTAGACCTTGCGTTTGCGAAATGTATCGGATTTGATCGTATTCTGAAGATCCCGGATACAACGGCCATCCCAGAAATAGTTCCGCAATTACGCAGCCCACAGACCACATGTCGATTGCTTCACTGAATGGCAATCCTAGATCAAGAACGGACAGTCGAACGTCAAAATGGTTCGGCTTTCCTCGAGTAAATAGGGGAGTGTTTCGCGAAAGCAAAAGACATAAAACCCAGGTCAACGCACCAAGAATCATTTCCGGTGCACGGTAATACCGTGACTGCAAGTACGCATTCGGAACCGCTTTCGATACGTGAGACGCACTTCCAAAATCAATGACTTTGACTCTGTACGGTTGGCGGACAGGATCAACCAACATGATGTTTTCAGGCTTCACGTCAGCATGAATCAAACCAAGTTGCTGCAAGGTTTAAAAAAAGGTTAAATGTCATTCATTCATGCAAAAATAGATTCTGGAGGAAAATCATACGGCTATCAATGCGACACTCACTTTAAGCTTGAATAGGGCAGTGAGAACTTGTTGCAAAATCGGCCTGATGCATTTCAATGGCAGAGGGTTGAATTTGTTGACTTTCAAAAAATCGTAGAGATTCTGCTCCAGCATTTCGAATACAAGACAAGTGTGGTTTTTATGCGAAAAACATTCGTGCGCACGCACGAAGTTGTACTCCTCGGCACTCTCTTGCGAAAGTCTTTGCAGAATTTGCACCTGCAAATAACAAGCAAGCACGTCAGTCAACACTTCGGAACCTTTTGCAATGTCTGAAGCAAAAAAATTCCTTTCCACGCTTCGAATACAAAAAGAATCGAACGATTCCAAAGAAAACAAGGAGGCACGAACTGACCTCGATTTGCCCCTGCCTGGCATAGTTCGGATGGTTCTTCAATATCTTGATAGCTACGATTTCGTTCGTGCCCTTCTTCCAGCACTTGACCACTTGCCCGAACGTGCCTCGCCCAAGAAACTCCAGAACCTCGTAGTGGTTGGACTGCGAGGTGAGGACTTCGTGTTGGACAAGCTGGTAGTCTCCATCGCCGCTTCCACTGCCTCCTCCAGTCGTGTTCGTAGTCGCATTTGCAGCATTATTTGTCCGATGATGCGATTGCTGTAAAAGTAAATCGATGATCTGTTAATTAGCTGTCGCAATCGAATATCATGGAGTGAATGCGAACACTCGCAAGCTTTACTCGAAGCAAGATCCGCGTAGATAATTATCACGAATTCCCGCAGATTTCAAGCGCAACCACGAGTCCAACAAAAATGAAATCGTTTCTTCCAGCGATACCTCTGTTGACGACATGCAGACTTTTCATCGCGAGTCTCACTCAATAGAACAAAATCAGGTTAGCATGTTGAAGTAGAACAGTATTCACAACTTATCGAATTACAGATGTAAACTGGAGGGCTGTCTAATTTCCAGGACGTGTAAAATAATTCTCAAGCAGTTTTAGAAATCTAGAAAAAAGTATTCTTCAACATGATGCTCACCTGTTTTAGTTAAATTCTTAGATTCAAGAACTAATAGATTGAGAGTAATGACAATTTCGCAAGACACCCGGAGTTTTATAGTCTTTACATGCAGTACCAAGAATCTTATGATAGTTGATAAAAAATTTTCAATTTTTAAAATTTGGAATAATACAGTATCTTCCCGATGTCTCACACAATTTTCAAAAATTTTACATCCGGGTTTTTCACAAAGTGGAAGACACAAAACCTGGTGGTAGTTTCAGAATTTTTTTTTTCAGTTTGAAGCTCAAAAAATGCAGGGTGCATCTTGTAATTGATGTTGGCTTCCTTTATATGGGATATGCTACTGCGCCGAGTGGTTTCATAATGTACACCAGTTAATCAAAATCAACACATTGCACTTTTTTTTATCCCCTTTGATACTTCCAAGGCGTGATTTCGACAACATATACTGTATACTGTATACAGGAAAACCGACAGTTGCAAAATTGCACGCGAAATGTTTTTTTTTCTTTAGTTTCTTTCTCTACATGCCAAAAGTTTAAATAACGGGAGGTAACAATGGCTTTAGATTTGCTGAACATTTTTTCGAATCCCTTTGCGCCATGACTGACATGAGATTTTCAAGTCCAAGATCCAAGACCGAAATTTAGCACGACACTTCGACACTCTTGTATGAGGAAGAAGCAGCGAACTTATTCTCGGTTTCAGCTTTAAGGTATCAAAAATGTTGATAGTCCTAAAACTCATGGCGCAAATTTTTTCGTGAACAGTAAGCAGGATCTCGACGGCTGACCCAGTCCATTGAAAAAAAGAAGAAATACAGCAGTAATGAATTACTGTAAAAGAGAAACAACCTGAACCGTGGGACGGAGTTGAGACTGGAAGTATTCTGATTTCCTTCTGATAATGTAAGAAAGTTCGTTAAAACTTTCGAAAAACGGACAAAAAGCCGGATATCGGATTTACTGGATCAAGGCAAAAACATACTTGCATCATATAAAATCCATCACACGCATTCCGCACAAAATTCCTGCGCTACTTCATCGAGTTTGATGGCTTTCCAGATTGAAATAGACGACAGATTATCGCAGACGAAACAAAGCGTGATTCGGAAAATAAAACTCTGGGGCTCCGACGCAACGGGAATGACAAGAAAAAAGCAGAAGTAAGACGCGATCTCCTCGGATTCACTCTACAACCGAGTGCAACGCGAAGAACCAGGTCGAGACCTGGTCACAACTCATTGTTCGCTACAATGTACCGCTGCTCGCATGACCCTCTTAACCCGCTACAACTAAGCAAGCCACGATGAAATTCCTTCCCTTCGCGGGAGTTACCGCAATTATCCATTTAAAAAAAGAACATCTAGACCCACCAGGATACGCTTTCGCCACCTAGTCAAGTAAGGTCGACTCCGCCATCGAAGGGAACTTCTGGAGTTTCCCGCGAGGCGATAATTCATACTTCAACGTCTATCATCGATTAGAAAACAACGTCCCAGAACGGGACACGAGATGGATACTGTGCCGCATGGACAGGAATAACCGCGAGCACTAATGGATAAGTGTTCATTTGCATTGCCCTGCAAGAGTTTCCCCTTCAAATAAGAATCGGCGACTTCCAGCAACTTAGGGCAGAGGTACTCATTTCAAGAGAAGAATACAGTAGTTGGATTACAAATTGAAACGCATTCTAGTACATGCAAAATTGGAAAGAGTCTCCAATACTTCTAGGAAAAGATTCGTAAAACGGGCCCATCCGTTGAAAATTTGTTTCAGGACGAGCCAAGTAAAAAATCGAGAAATTCTGACTCCTACAAGCAAGATTGATGAGCAGCGCTAATAAAATGAATTACGGTACAAGATCTCAAGAAAATCATGTCAGCTCTTGATTCATAATTTTCGGATTCCCCAACTTGAAACACAGCACACCACGATTCTTCCGAATAGAATTAGACGAAACACATATATACAACATTAACTTCCACACACGTGTTCAACTTTCAAGGATACGTTCTAATTCTGCTCATACTTCAGCCTTCGAGAAAATCTATTTAGCGAACCCAGCGGATTCGACGTAAAAGACGGGCGAAGGTTTAGTATGCATTTCACTTGAGAAATTAGCTACGAAGCGCCTCAGATTATAAGTCAATCAAAATACTGTACAAATGAGCGAAATCAATCGAAGTATGCAAGATAGTGTTAATTCAGGTGGACTAATTAATCGGAACTTACAACCTCATCTTCAACAATTGAATCTCGTTCACTTCAAAGTTTAAACGAATAAATGGCGCAAAAATATTTTCTGAATGATCAGGGGTACAATGCTGTATTTTGGAGTGTGTGGTGCTGTTCGCGTGAATCAAGAATTTCTGGATAATTTTTCGCTTACAAATACGAAAACAATTACCAATTTTTTAAGAGAACGTTACAAATACTGTACTCAGGAAGTAATAAAAATAATTAAAATCGATTATGTTTCGAAAATCGAGGACAACGAAGAAACGCGTTGTTGAAGTGAACTAAGAGGTCATTTAGAACAAATTCACCGTTCTAGATGACCGAGGAAGTTTTGTGGGCTTACCTAGGAAACCATCAGGCAAACCTAGGTTAATCTAGACAATTATCATTCAAAGTTTTCTATGAAAAATGCATCAGATTGAGCAGCATGTGGAATATCGTGTTCGTGATTACAGCACAGTAATTTCCGAGAGCGCTTTTTGGGAAACAAAAATTCAGCTTCGAGTTAGCAAAATTGCAGCCTACCTTCAAGTACAGTACAATACTGTAATACAATGGAATCTCGTTGAAATGAATAATAATCGTTCACAACGAAGTCGTTGTTTTTGTCCATGTCCCACAGTCACCATGCTAAACGAGTTACTTGATAAAAAAAATTCCTTATAAGAGTTACAACTAAGCCATTTTACCGGCTCCAATGTATTCGTTGTAATGAGATTTTCTTGTTTAAAATTGGATCCAGAGATGCGGACGTAATTTGCGCTTGGACCTTGTCCCTACGTCAAATTGTCCACACGTTCCTTCTCCTTCTGCCAGAGACTTTAATGCGATCATATTTAAATGGTTCTACTGCTCAAATAACAGGAATAAGTCCCCAGAACATTGAATGAAATTTTTTTCACCTCAAGTTCAAGAAACAGTGAACAACTGTGCAGAAGAAAACCACGTAGATACTCATCTGGCATCAAAAGGAGCTCAAAAAGCAAAGAACGAGAATAAGTCTTGCTATAATGTGCACAGATTATAAATAACTCTGAAAAAGTACACAATCAGCCTGCTTTGATACAATAATCAACTCAAGTAAATGTATAATGGAATGTATTTTACCGTTTTTGTGAATATACAGTATATACCGTATACAGTATATATACTGTAGCCCCATTTGTTCAATGAATATTAAACTTGAAAAAAAATTAAAATTGTTCTGTAACTTTGCTGGCAAAGGGTTCCCTATCTCAAACAATTGTCCGAATAACAGGACAGATTTTTTTCGCGTTTCAAGTGTCCCTCAGTCCATAATCTCACTGTTAATTATTCTTGCGAGTAAGAAAGAAATTGGATACAGTACCTGGTAAGACACGTTGGTGTGGCCGTGGTGGTGGTTGTTGCCATGATGCTGGTTGTTATGGTGGGCGGTGGTGAGTAGCGGGGCCAGCGCCCCGAGTTTGAGCCCGCCGTGCGTCGTCTTGCCGGCGTGGTGCGGGTCCGGGTGCGAACACGGGCCCAGGTGCGCCGCATGCGCGCGCCCGGCTTCCTCACACTTGCGCTGCTCGCAACAAACGTCACAATAGTCAGCTTCGTAGTCGTAAAACCAGGCACAGTCCCCGGCCTCGTCCGTCTCCATGGCCGCCACGCTCTCGCTGCCCGCGTTCAGGTGGCGGAACTCGTCCCAGTCCAGCACACACATCGGCGCCTGCACTGGATAGAACGTGCCCACGTGGACCGGCAAGGCCCAGTGCTGGCCAACGCGGAGGTACACAATGTTGTCGTCTCCGCCGTCACCGAGCCCCAGATCGCACGACGAGACTCCCGTCGGCTCCCAGAACCCGCCCATCATCTCATCGGTACATCGCGGGAAAACATTAGTCGGGCTTCGCGAACGTCTCGCCGACTAACAACAATCACTACCTCACATCTGCGTGGGAAGATGCATTTGGGTTACAACACTTATTCTCTTGGTCGGATACGGGGATTCAGATTCGCGGGCGGAAACGCAAGAAAGACTCCCCCGTACAGCTTCATCGTCAACGCACGGATTCCCGCAGGACAAAGCATTCTAAGACTTGAAATACCCGGAACTCGAATCTCGCAACGCGGGCAAATTTTCACAAAAAAACGCAATCAATCCTTCGTTCGATTCCCATCCCCGAAAAAAAAATGAGCCAAACCACGCGACAGAAACCCCATTTCTGTTGGTCACTTTCTCCGAAGTTGTCTTACGAAAGAGCCTTCCTGGTGCTGATCGTGAAACGTGCTCGCGCCACATTAAAATTTTTTGGAAAAATGAAAACGCCTTTGGAAATAAAACCAGTACCTTTTCCCCCACTACAGTAGACTGTACCAAAGGAGACAATTGATTATTAATGGACTTTCAGCGCCACTACCCCATAGGAGCAGCTTATAAGCTTAGAACGGCTTGAGAGCTCATGAAATTCGTTCGAAGATCCACCAGTATTCTTTATTCATTACCGTACACTGTCGCAACTGTTGCATCTGCGCTACGAATATTCAACACCAAGCGGAAACTAACTTGAATTCAGCACAGATACCAGTGAGAACGCTCTTCCATTTCATTTTTAAATAGAAATACAGCATCACATGAGTGCACACATGCAGCAGAACGTATTTCAAATGTTCAGTACCATTCCCGGCTGATTTCCCAACTAATGTAAGTGCTTTTCTCCAGCTACTGTACTTTTCTTTCATCGCACCTCCTCAACAACAGAAAATGAAACCTAGAAATATGAAAAAGGACTCGCACTTCGGGCATCATGAACGAGAACATTCATGGTGCCCGAGAACACGAAACCTACCGGAAATTTGACCCTGAAACAGGTCGCTCATTCTCCTCCGCCGGCAGCAAGAACTGGCTGCAATAATCAATTTCACTCTCTTCGAAACATCTCGTTTTCTTAACTGTACGCTACGGACCGACATTAAACAGTCCAGAAGAACCAAAGCAATCAACTGAGAAAAATCGTCCGTCATAAATATGCATTAGATGCTTCCATAAGAAGTAATGAGAATGAACTGTATAAGATCAGTTTCATTTTCAGATAAATACGGTAAATGAATATTTCGCTCGATCACGTTGAGATCTATTCTGAAAAATTCTAGTCTTGCGCGTTCCCTTGAACCCAAATTTTCACTGCAAGCATCACGCGTTGAACGGAGCTCCCAAAATGAGCACAGATATCACGAACCAAAAGGAGAACACGCCCTGGTCGATACCGTCGGCGCATCAGCACGAACTGAGAAATACTGTACGGTCGACATAGCCAGTCTCACAGCTAGGCAATGTTCCAACCCGCAGTGGAAGTCCTATGCAAGTTCGTACCCGCTCAGAACCACCGGTCATCAAAAGAAGCGCCACGATACCAAGTAAGCGTAGCCTTTGGATAAAGGACGGTCTTTCCGTCGGTTCCAGGGTTGCCCGAAGATATCAGTTCGTATTTGTAACTTACAGCTTTCGATCGAAAAAGAAAATGGTTTTGGTCCTTTTCCAATAAGCGTTCGGTTCAATACTGATACACTGCCAATGATTTCGAAAAGCACATAGCTTCTTCAGCACGTTAAACAAACCAATTTGAACGCGAGTCCAAGACACGCTGCCGGTACTGTAACTGCCTCATAGTTCGCAAGGAAAATCTTCAACACGTCTGGACAACTATAATTAAAATAGACCAAAAAGCCAGAGAAAAACTTTGCAGTCAATTTAATCCTTTAGCAAGGAAACGATCGCATGCAGTTCTACGACCACCAAGTCACGTAGAAACGACAAAACTCCGAAAAAGGGAAAATTTCAAATGCTTTTCCACGCTAGCACTTGACAATCGTCCGCATTCAATTCAGCTCACACCACATAAATACAGCACACGAGTTGACATATTACAGTAATCATTCGAATCGGTAAATATTTCGGACAAGCCCGGAAGAAGCATTACGTACGTGAATCGAAGACGCTGGATTCTATCATTCTCCGTGGTAATTCAAGAAGTTTTAGGCGGAAAAAAATCTCGTTTCCACGTAAAAAATACGACAGAAAATTATATTCCAAGAACTTTCGTCTTAATCCCTCTAGTGTCTGGGGCGCAGTTTTGGTACATTATCGGCTGAAGTTCCTTACGAAATATGAGCCGCCGTCACCCCCCGAATTTCGCTTTCCATCTTCACATAAATCAACTGTTGGTACTGTATGAAGGCTCATAAACTTCATTCCTTTCTTAAGTAAGCATAAACAGAGTCGAAACCATTCAAGTGGCAGGATATTCCGAAAGAATTGATCGAGGAAACAAGATGCGTTTTATTCGTTTCTCTTGCATTAAATCCGACGTCAAACGTGACGCACGGTTTTAAAATGCATGAGCTTTTCAGGCATCCAAGTCAACACTTGAAACCTTCGTTCAAGTCAGTATTAAACCCGGTTTATCCGCATTTTCGATGCCAACTTCGGAGAGCATCAGGAAAGTAATCGAACCCAGTATTCATGTAAACATACGTCATCACTCCTTGAACAAATGTTTTGAACGAACGGCGCAATCTATTTTCATCAGTATCCTGAAGATGTGCTATTAACAATAGAAATGCCCGACTCGTATACTGTACGGTACTCTAAAAAATCGCGCGCCTACAACAGAACACCACGTACGTCACTATTTTTCCGCAATGTACCAAGAAAGGTTTTCCATCAATCCATGGGAAAATTAACGCAATCCACAAATCTGAAGTCGTGAAAGTCGACCTCAGCTCACGCTTGTTCAAATACGAGATCCACACTAATACACGCTCACACACGCGAACGTCGAATGAAAATAAACCCTCCGTCCTAAATTTAAACCGATGGCTTTCATCACCTCAACGAACATCGGAGGAAAATCCGAAGAAATCAGAATGCTCGGGGAAGAAAATGTACTGGAGTATATCTGGTTTCTTCGATCTTAGCGCAAAAAAGGAGTTGGTTCCAGATCATTTTAGCTGTACAATAAAACCTAGCTTTCGTATTAAAATCAGCAGGAATCTGTAGGCGCAGGCTTCGCTTTGGTATACTAAAATTTCCAAACTCGAAAGCCTCAATACGTTACATAAAATATGCTATGGAAAGTTTGAAATGGCATTTTAACATTTAAAATCTTTTCTTTATAAGTACTGAAGTATGTCCCTTTGACGTGAATCCCCCAACAAATGTTCATCGCAGGCGGACGAAACGAGGTCAGCTCATGCCAGTGCTACCTGAGACATGTTGAAGAGTAAATCCCATCACTAACGTACGAAATCAAGGAACAATCCGACAGACAGTACTGTACTCTTAAGGAAAGCGGTTGACCTATACGAAGCTGTAAAAACCAGAAAAATTGACAAGCCTCACGTTTTCTCCCTCTACTGTACATTGGATACCCCAAATTGGTTTAGTCCGACTTTTTTTTAGAATACTGCTCCACCACTACTCAATGGGCAAGCAGCTGCTCTCACGGTGAACGAATTCTAATGGCATCAAGTTCAGCATCGAAAGTTCGTAACATGAATTTCTTAAATCTTTTCTTTACTTCACACCCAAAGGCATGGCCAACTAGCAATAAATATACATATTATGTTTGGATGTGTCCCGTCGTAGTTTTCCCGTTTTGGAGAAAGGAATTTGTGACTGACATAGCCCCCAGGTAGACGTGCAAAAAAAATAAGCACACGTGCCCTCTTCTGCAGGGTATCTCCGGGGGGCAATTAACAGAATCGCAACGCACTGTGTTCCTCACATTCACAAACTTTAAACAGAACTAAGAATCTGTTTCAACAGGATTTCCAACTTCGGTTGCATTCGAAGGACTTCGTTGGTCTGAACTCGAATGCAATCAGGCCCTTTCACGGCATAAATGTGACAGACACGATGACGCCATCTTTGTAATTTCCAACTCTTTTTGAATAAAACGCTTGTTTACTGAAGAATGTGCAGTACAATAGATTCAGCGTATAGATCGATGCGCTTCAACCAAATGGAATTGCGCAGTTGATGTTGATCAGCAATATTTATGAGAAAAAAATGCACCATTCCTAACCAAAAAGACAAGCGAGTAAAACGAGACGAACGAAAAAGTGGGGAAAACAGGAATTAATTACCATCACCGGCTTCAGAGAGCCCCCATTTCACGCAGCCATATTGCCCCGATTTCCGGGGAAACGCACTTAATTGCAAAATATGAGAGCCCCTCGCGGAGATTTCCAATTCGCGGCAAATGGTATCCGCTATCACTGCTGGGGCACGGTGGTACGATTATAAAAGCAGGCGCAGTTCTCAGGTGACTGCGTAGATGTGCCTCGGCTCTCACGCAGTTGCCCCAGGCCATCCCTGCACGGTAGGAAAATTCAACGCACTGCTGCCAGGTTGAACCAAATGTACGCAATCACCCCGCACGACGTTACAAACGAGTGCATATGGACGACGAACGGTTTTTCTCGACATGGGTGGGTCGCGCGGTGAAATGGCAGGATTTCCTGCCGAATTTATTTTCGAACTTATGTTAACTTTTACCTTACGCTTCCAAAACTCGGCTAAAAAACTTGGGGTGCATAAATTTGTGAAATTTAAGCGTGAAAGGGTACAATCTTAAGACCGATTCGAATTCAAAAGCGCACGAGTTGGAGTTCTTGTCGAAAGGCTTTAGAAGATCAGTTTGGTGCATGTCGATTATACTCGTGCTTCAAAAAATGGAGACATTTGGAAGTCCCCTTAACATTATCAACAATCATCTCATTTTAAAAATATGGCTACGAATAAAACCGACGGCATTTTTCATGTAAGAATTATGTATAAAATAACTGGACTCCTTTATGCGTACTTGACTTCGCATCGTCTGTGAACTGATGTCAGGTCGTCTCTACTAACAAACCTGGCCAGAAAACCAAAGAAATCCTTTATGCCTTGAAAGA